CAGTCCAAACCGACTTTCTGTGGTCTTCTCAACTTTTTTAAAACACACCGGCTCCAGACACACCGGCGGGACTTTGTTTTCCCCCATGTTGGCCTTTGCTGTTTTGTTTGTTTTGGGCTGCCTCCGCAGGTCCGTTCAGCTGGATCCTTCTTTCTTACAGCTGGTTGGGGGGAGGGGGGAATCCAGGCCCCGCTCTTTCTTGGCAGGCAGCCAAGCTTCTGCTGTGAGCTGTAGCCTTGGGCCGGAGTCGGTGCTTTATTTTTTGACTGAGCGAGCTGGAGTGTCGAGTTAACCCATTCTTTGCTCTTTTCCTTCTTCCCCCTCTTGGCCTTTCGCTCCCTGCAAGGGAATCTTCCATTCCACACTTATACCTTTGACCTTCCCCCCCGCCTTCGCACCCCCCCCCCAAATGCCTTGCGATGCTTACAACCGCGTTAGCAATATAGAATGCTGATCTGCCTCCCCATGGGACTCCCTGAGGGAGGGAGTCCTTGGGCCTGTGACGGGGGTGGGGAAGAAGACTGGCACCTGCAGGTTAGACAAACACCTGTCAGGAATGGTCTAGATAATACTTAGTCCTGCCATATGTGCAAGGGACTGGACTAGATGACCTCTTGAAGTCCCTTCCAGTCCTGTGATTCTATGATATCCTGATAAAACACTCTTTTGTGGAAATGTTGATGGAACTTCTCAAGATAGTAACAAATTCAAAGGATGCGGGACTTAATAAGCAAAACAGATGAGGGATAGCGGATTCTTTGCACAATAGGAAGTTGTCAGGCTGACCAGGAAATGTTCAGAGCAGGGACTTGATTCCAGAGAAGGTTTTATTTGCAACTAAGCTAAAAGGAGCCTCAGTCACTGAGTATTCAGAGGAAGTATGTTGTTCAATCCATCTTTTGTTAGATGTAGAATTTTTTAGTTCCACATTTATTAAACTGATTTCTTCCCTTCATCTCACCTAATATTTTTATAGTATCTTAACCTATTTGTTTTAAGATGCTTAAATCATATTAAAAGTAATGTATACTTTTTATATATATGACTCTATTAACACAGTCAGTTGATATATTGAGCAAGAGCTCTGATTCAATGCCGCTTGGCTGTAGATGAAGTCTCAACATTCAGTTGGAAGACTTGGAGTGTAGGCCTGATGGTGTGGAAGCTGCGGGATTGCACGTTCTTAGGGTTAGCAGAAGTGTCGATACCAGGGTTCTTCAAGTATAAGCTTGCAGAATTCTGTTTTCTAGGAAGATCATTAGCTTTCCTGGACTGTGCCAGGTACTGATAGGTGGCATGATGAGAATACTGATCCATTGCCACTCTATTCAAGCAGTATGAATCAGCTGATGACCTGGACGAGGCTGACCACTTATTTGAGCTGTGCTTGCTGAGCCTGATGAAAGGAAAAGACACAGTACCTGAACTTTACTTGTTCCAGACAGAAATGCTGGAGTTTTACTTTGTCGCCTTGGAGTAGCCCAGCAGTCACCAAAACCAAGCTGATCATCTGAGAGGAGCCATTCACCTGCTTCGCCTGGAGAAAGACACACTTGGAAAAAGAAATGAATAGTTGAGTCCTGAGTGAGTGGACGGTCTTACGCAGCAGCACAAATCCAGAGCTTTCCCTGAACTTTTTGCAGTTCCAGAGTGCTGTATAACATCAAGTCTGGCACCACTACTGGCTATGACAACATCCTTCCAGAGTTCCTGAAACATCTTGGCCCATGTGCTCTTGGTTGGCTCAATTCTTCACAAAGATCACCAATGAAGGAAGACTGCCGAAAATCTGGCGCATGTCAAAAGTTATTGACCTCCCAAAACCTGGTAAAGACCCAAACCTGGCATCAAGCTGTCTCCTGATATCGTTGCTTTCTCTGTCTCTCAAGGTTCTAGAGTACCTAATTTTACAGTGAATAACACCAGTGGTCGAGAGCATCTTGAATGTCGAGCAAGCAGTCTTTCAATAAGGTCTAAAGCACATGCAATCAAGTACTTGCTCTAACCACATTAATCAAAAACTCTTTTCAAAGAAATCTGAAAATGGGCGCTATTTTCCTTGACCTCACTGCAGCATATGATATGGTGTGGCACAAGGGTCTACTTTTTAAAATATCAAGAGTCCTCCCACCCTGGGTTACTAATGCCATGGAACTGCTCCTCTGAGACAGATGGTTCAGGGTGCATGTGGGTGAGAACAAGTGCTTGGAAGAAAACGGATGAATGGGTTATGCTAGGGATCTGTTCAAGCCCCAAACTTTTTAAATCTATACATCAGTGACCTGCCACCAACCCAGTGGCAGAAGCTCATCTATGCAGAAAATGTATGCTGCGGGCTACCAGGCTCAAACTTTCTCTGCGCTGGAGAAAACCCCACGAGATGATGCTGCAAAGCTGGCCAACTATAGCAAGACATGGCGCCTTCAGCCTAGCACCAGCAAGACAGTCTCTAGCACATTCTACCTCCACCAAGCCACTGCTAATAGGGAACTAAACATCATAATGAATGGCCAGAAGCTGAAGCATGAAGCATACCCTGTTTACTTATGTGTGACCCTTGACTGAACACTACATACAAAAGTCACCTGAACAAGGTAGCAGCAAAGGTCAATACATGCAACAACCTTCACAGCAAACTGGCAGGTTCGTTCATGGGGAGCGGATGCACCAACCCTATGGACCTCAGTCTTTGCCATCTCGAATTCAATAGCAGAGTGCTATGCGCCAATATGGAGTCGGTCGGCACACACCAAACTTGTTGTATGTGCATCTCAACTCAACAATGTGCATCAGCACAGGAACTCTCCGACCGACTCATCTTTCATGGCTTCTAGTTCTGAGCCACATTGCTCCCCTTTACATCACGAGGGAGATTGCAGTTGGCAAACTGCTTGAGAAAGTATGTGCCAACCCAAGTTTACCCTTGTTCAACGACCTTTTAGGACCATCAGCTGCATGTCTTTCATCACAACACCCACTATGGTTGAGGCTGCCACGCCATCATGTGACAACAGAGTCCTTGTGGCGGGAAAACTGATGCTTAACATTATCCGTCAATCAGTTCCTCATCACAGACCCTACTGCTTGCCTGCCCAGCTTTGACCTGCCACGTCGTTAGTGGGCTCTTTTTAGCCATTTCTGGACTGGGCAAGGCCTCTGTGCGCCAGCGAGCACCGTTGGGGTCTTAGAGGAATCCAAGCTGTGGCGCAGATCAAACCATGATACACATTGTCGAGGCGTGCCTGCTAATCAAATTCAGCAGTGGTCTCTGAGGGCTGCATCTGGCTACTAAGAACGCTATCGCTTAGCTCAGCAAATATGCAAATGATAAATAAACAAGTTGATATACTCATATCCTAATATTGAACTCATTAATATTTGATTTTACAAGTTTTGGGGTGTGGTGCTGCGTGTTCAAGAACAGAACTGGAATTACAATTTGTAAAGCATTTAAATTTTTAGTGTAGAACTTTAAGGAAAAGAGTTATAGCATGAAAGTTGCATAGAGTGAAATTTAATTTAAAAAAGCTTTTGTGATCTTATATGAATTTTTGTTCAAATAGCAAGGGATCAAAACTTGGTCAAGGACAAGGGATGAGAAGACATTATTAATCTTGCCAAAGAATTACAGGCTATGTGGTCAGAGTTTTAGACTTTAAAGTTGTGCCACCTCGATTAACATCTTTTTTCTTTCCTTTCTCCACCTACACCCTCAATTGTCAAAATTCCAACATGATTTTATATTATCCCTTGAATCATTAAAGTTGGAAAAAACTGCTTTATGCTGCTTGAAAGCTGGAATTCCAGCTTTCTTACAGATGTTATAAATTGTTAGCTCTAGCAGGTTTGTGAAGTATCAGTTGTTAAAATCATGTCTGAATTGAAGAAAGCACAAAAAACAAGATGGTAATCTGTGACATAATTTTAAGGTCTCATATCTTTTGAAATGCCATTGGTCAGAAATAAATGGCTTGTACCACCAGAAAGCAGAGAAATCCTTGCATTCTTGGATGCATTTCTAGCACTAAGCATCAGAGGCAGATTTACCATGGAACAGTGTGGTGGCACAAGGCCCCCCAGTGACGGGGAACCCCCAAAATGCAGGACAAATCTCATCTGACAACCTGTCCCTGAGTCTCTGCCGGCGGCGCAGCATTCCGTGGCCATTAGCCCCATGCCACCCCTGGAAGCCAATGGCTGCTGGCACATCTCTGAATGCCCCCTGGTGTGTGTGGGGGTGGCTCTGCGTGCTGCCCCTGCCCCAGGCAGCGCACGGAGACCTGCTGCCCCCCCCTTCTCCCAGGGGCGTGCAGAGAGATGCCAGCAGCAAGGCTAAGGCGGCTCCCTGCCTGCGTTGCTTCCCTCCCTCTGTGCCACTCAGGGAAGCAGCTGGCATGTACCTGCGGCCGCTGGTAGGGGGTAAGTGCTGACCCCTCCTGCACCCCAGCCCAGAGCCCGCACCCCACACCCAAACTTCCTCCCAGAACTTGCACCCCTCATCCCCTCCCATGCCCCAACTTCCTGCCCCAGCCCAGAGCCACATCGTACCCCAACCCCTGCCCCAGTCAAGGTACCTCACTGTATTGCCATTTACTTCCTATTACTTATAATATTGGAGGATGAAGGAAAAAAAGAATAAAAACGGGGGGTTGGGGAGATAAGAGTGTTTTTTCTTGTCTGGGTCCTGAGGGGGAGGGCCCTGAAAATGAAGCTGCGCACAGGGCCCCACTAACTCTAAATCCGCCACTGCTAAGGATTCATGAGCTGAAGACAGGACATTTATTACTGGTCCCATGGCCTAGCAGTGTCTTTTTTAGAACAGGTCTAGGACTGAGTGTAACAAGTCTCAGAGAATTTAATGAAACTAAGTTAGTAAGCCTCTCGTTTAAAAAACAAAAAACAAACCTTCATTAGACTTCCTATGAAAGGTTGCTTTTAAAATATAAAAAGTCTGTACTTCAGCATTTTTACATATACTGACTTAACTTATTCCTCCACAGGGTGTGATAGGTGTACAGCTCGTGGTTACCATGGTGATGGCTAGTGTCATTCAGAAGATCATACCTCACTATTCTCTAGCTCGTTGGCTTCTCTGTAGTGGCAGGTAAGATAAGAAACAACTAATTGCTACAGTATATATGGATGTGGTGACACTTGTTATAGAGTCTAGAAATCAAAAAATTAAACTAATCAGGAAAGGTTTCAACCATTTCCAGCAGAATGGAACCACTTGCATCATTTGCACCTGATGTAGAAGATTATAATATTGTGACATCAGATCATAGACTGAAAATATAATGAAATTCTCATTGTAAAGGAGCTGTGTTAAGGTTGTTATACAGTTAAGCATGCTGTTAGTTGGCTGACATTTTTTTCTTTGAGAGATGAGCTGTACGACACTTTCTAATATTAAAATACAGCTTAGTTCTTGCTCTCCCACAGTGATCAACTTTTCTCTGCAATGACGCTGTGTACCTAATGATTCTTCTTCGAGTGCTTGTTCACGTCCATTCCACATTAGGTGTGCGCGTGCTGCGTGCACGAGCGTCGGAAACTTTCCCCATAGCGGTACCCGTTGGGCCGGCGGGTCCCCCGCCTGGGCACCGCCACTGCGCCATGCATATGTACCCCCGCTGGCCCAACCTCCTCCAGTTCCTTCTTACCATCCATGGAAAAATTGGAACAACTTCTTGCTCTTGTATGAGAAGCAATCCCTTAGCTTTAGAGTACTTAGCTGCTCTCCATTCGTTAGCATTCTGTTGTTGTGGGCACTTGATAGTTTAGGTGCTTGGAGGCTTCCAGCATCCGCTCCGGGCCGCAGGGCATGACACAGGCCCACTGGTTTAAGGCTTGTGCCATGTGCCGCAATCCTATGCCGGTTAGTGACCCCCACAACTCCTGTCTATGTTGCCTGGGGGAAGCACACAAAACAGAAAGGTGTAAGATTTGCAAGGCATTTAAGCCTACAACAAAGAAAGAGAGAGAGACTTTCGCTTGAAGCAGTTGTTGATGGGAGGCAGTGCTGCAGCCATCGGGCCCGGAGCCCTCTGACACAGAGGGAAGCCTCAGTACCGTAGGTGAGTCAGCACACGGGGTTGGTGCAAGGGACCTGACGCTCTCTGACACCCTCCAGAGAACCGGCACCAGGAGAAGGCGAGCTGACCATCGCCGAAGGCTTCTGGAAGTCACCGGTCCAGGTCTCAGGAGCACCAATACCAGTCCCACGAGCAGCGGTACTGATCCTGTTCCCGATCGGCAAGAAGCCGCTCATCGACCTCCCGCCAGCACAGCTTGACGGCACCGCACTGGACAGCAGAGAACACCTGGCTGGCTGGCAACCCCAGTAGGGACTGCCGGGACACGGGCCCTTCTGGACCCCCTGGGCCTACCACCAGCGGCAAGGGGCTCCCTCCAGGGCCAGCTACTCGGTGTCCCAGTCTCTGCACCGACGCTCCTCCGTGCGGGAAGCTACGGCGTCCAGACCGCCTGCGCCACCGCCGAGCGAGAGACCGGAGAAACCAGCACCGAGTCCGGTGCCGCCCCAGGGTCAGCTGTCCAGGCCTGAGCTGGAAGCCCCTTCTTCGGGGGAGGGGGACTAAGGGGACCAGCAGGAGGAAGCGGAGCAGCTGCTGACCTCCTCGTCATCACCAGATGAAGCGGTGGCAGGCACAGTGGTATCAGGACCTCCACCAATAGACCACAGAGCCCACCAAGAGCTACTGCGTAAGATTGCTCATAACTTGGGGTTACTGGCCGAGGAGACGGTGGAGCAGCAGGACCCCATGGTGGACATCCTGAGCCCAGAGGGTCCATCCAGAATAGCGCTTCCGCTTATTAAGTCCATACAGTCGAACTATAAGACTATATGGCAGACTCCAGCCTCCAGCACCCCAATAGCCAAAGGTGTGGAACACAAGTACTTTGCCCTGTCAAAAGGGTACGACTTTGTTTTTGCCACCCAAGCCCATGTTCCTGGTAGTCTCGGCAGTAAACGAGAGAGTGCGCCATGGACAACAGGCCCCAGCCCCTAACGCCAAGGAAGCGAAGCGCTTGGACCTGTTTGGCAGGAAGGTGTATTCCTCAGGGGGCCTCCAGTTGAGGATTGCTAACCAAGAGGCCGTCCTCAACAGGCATAACTTCAACTCCTGGGCGGCAGTGGGGAAGTTTAAGGACAGCCTCCTGCAGAGTTCCCACAGGAGTTTACGGCTCTGGTGGATGAAGGCAAGGCCGTAGCGAAGACCTCTCTCCAGGCGTCCTTGGATTCGGCGTATGCGGTGGCCAGGACAATTGCGTCTGGCGTGGTCATGCGACGCTCGGCGTGGCTACAGGAGTCAGGTCTGCCGCCTGAGGTCCAGAACTCGCTCCAGGACCTCCCCTTCGAAGGGTCCGGGCTCTTTTCGGACCAGACGGACGCAAAGCTGCATAGCCTCAAGGACTCGAGGGCCACACTTAAGTTGCTGGGTATGCACACCCCGGCGACCCAAAGAAGGCCCTTCAAGCCGCAGCCTCCTCCTCAGTGTCACTACCAACCTCATCCTATGCAGGAGCCCTACCGCAGGCGAAATGGAGATAACAGGAGGTGACACAATAATAACAACAATAGCTCCAATAGTCCAGGCTGGAGCCAAGGCCAACTTAAGTCTCAGCCCGACCCTAAACCAGGCTTTTGAAGGTGTGCTTGAGGACAGCGTACCAGACCAATCACCGGATCCATCCCTCTGTTTCCTGGACCGCCTGTCCCGCTTCTCCCGTGCGTGGTCCAGTATTACGTCAGACCGCTGGGTGTTACGCATGGAACAGGCTGCAGTTCTCTTCCCTGCCTACCTCCCACCCCTCTTCCCTGTCCCTCTTCAGGGACCCTTCTCATGAGCATTTCCTGGAAAAGAAGGTTCGCACGCTCCTAGAGGCGGGGGGTGGTACAGTTGGTACCAAACGACCTAAGGGGAAAAGGGTTCTACTCCCGCTACTTCCTCATTCCCAAGGCCAAAGGAGGCTTTCGTCCCATTCTGGACCTGCCCGGGCTCAATAAGTTCCTGGTCAAGGCCCGGTTCCGCCTGGTCTCTCTGGGCACCATCATCCTTTCCCTGGATCTGGGGGACTGGTACGCTGCCCTCGACATGAAGGACGCGTACTTTCATATCGCTATCCACTCGGCACATCGCCGATTCCTGCGCTTCACTGTGAACCAAGAACGTTACCAGTTCACGGTTCTCCCGTTTGGCCTAGCTACGGCCCCACGGGTGTTCACAAAATGCATGGCGGTGGTGGTGGCCTTCTTACGGAGGCGAGGGTTTGAGTTTACCCGTACCTTGACGACCGGCTCCTGGCGGGCCGGTCCGAAGAGGAGGTTTGGTCCCACGTGCAAGTGGCCCTGAGACTATTCCACACGCTGGGGCTCCTGGTCAACGTCCCCAAGTCCACCCTCATTCCAACGCAGAGTGGAATTCATAGGGGCAGTCCTAGATGCGGTACAGGCAAAGGTGAGCCTCCCAGTATCACAATTCCTGGCCATCCAGCAAGCAGTGAACTCCCTGTGCCAGTTTCCCACTACAACTGCCAGATACTGCCTGAGGCTGCTGGGCCACATGGCAGCATGCACACATGTGGTCAAGTATGCCAGACTGAAACTCAGGACACTGCAGGCTTGGCTTCCCCGTGTATACCGCCCAGGCAGGAACCCCCTGGACTTGTAGTGACGGCCCCAAGGGGGAAGTATTGGACTCCCTACAGCAGTGGCTGTCCCAGACCGTGGTTTGCGACAGCATCCCCTTTGTTGCACAACAGCCGGATCTGGTGCTTGTGACGGATGCGTCAGACCTCGGATGGGGTGCTCACCTAGGAGACCTCAGGGCTTTGGTCGGGAGAGGAGCGGTCGCTCCATATCAATGTGAAGGAGCTCAGGGCGGTTCGTTTAACCTGCCAGGCCTTTCATGCCGCTTTGAGTGGTCACAGCGTGACAGTTCTGATGGACAACACAACTGCTATGTTTTACGTAAACAAGCAGGGCGGAGCCCGCTCCTCGCTGCTCTGCCACGAGGTTCTCCTCCTCTGGAACTTCTGCATAGCCCACGCCATTCACCTTGAGGCGTTACATCTACCGGGGGTGCGGAACAAACTAGTGGACCACCGCAGCAGGTCGTACCGCATGCATGAGTGGACGCTCAGAGCAGACGTTATGTATTCGCTCTTCCACAAGTGGGGGTTTCTCTGGGTAGACCTGTTTGCCGCCAGGGGCAATGCCCAGTGCACGCAGTTCTGCTCATTCCAGGGCTGTAGCCGGGCTCAATAGCGGACGTGTTCGCGATCCTGTGGGGAGGGGAATTAAAATACACCTTTCTCCCGCTTCCTCTGGTGCACAAGGTCCTGCTCAAGGTGTGCAGGGATGGGGCGGTGGTCATCCTCATCGCCCTGGCCTGGCTCCACCAGCACTGGTTCACTAAGCTCTTGGAGCTGTCGGTGGAAGCCCCGGTAACCCTGCCCCTACACCGGGACCTCATCACGCAGGATGAGGCTCCTCCACCCCGACCGGCAATCACTGCATCTGACGGCATGGAAGCTCTGTGGCTGAACGCTTTGGAGAGCCAGTGCTCGCTCCCTGTGCAGCAGGTTCTACTTGGTAGTAGGAAGCCCTCTACCAGGGCGACTTATCTGGCCAAGTGGAAAAGGTTCTCGTGCTGTTGTGGCCCCAACAGGTCCAGCCACACCAGGCTCCGGTGCCCACCATTCTAGAGTACCTACTGCACCTCAAGCAGCAGGGGTTGGCCCCGTCCTCGATCAGGGTACATCTGGCGGCCATCTCTGCCTTCCACCCGGTGTTTTCAGGGGGCTCGGTGTTCTCCCACCCAATGGTGGGGCGGTTCCTTAAAGGACTGGAGAGGGTGTTCCCTTACTCACGCCCCCCACTTTCCCCATGGAATCTCTACTTAGTCCTTTCTAAGCTCATGGGGGGCCCCCGTTCGGGACCCTTGTTACCTGCTCCCTCCTCCGCCTTTCCTGGAAGGTGGCATTCCTGGTGGCCATTACCTTGGCCAGAAGGGTATCTGAGCTGAGGGCACTCACCCTTTCGTAAATCGACGCAGCTGTTCGTGGCTGCGGTGGAAAGGA